TGTGTGTGTGTGTGTGTGTGTGTGTGTGTGTGTGTGCGTCTGTGTGTGTGCGTGTGTGTGTGTGCGTGTATGTGTATGTGTGTGCGAAAATATTATACAGATTGATAGAGAGAGAAAGAGGGAGAGAGAAAGAGCATTGCCCTACCTGTAGATGAGAAGTTTGGTTTCACTGGTGTGTATATTTGTTTGGTTATAGAGAAACATCTCCTTGTCTGTTAAAGAAACTTAACATGGTGCAAAAACCTCTACCTTCGATTTTCTCAAAACAGCAATTTTCGGGATAGGCCCCCCCCCCTCCCCTTGTGCTTCAAAGCGACCAATAAACCGTTTACATAAATTCTTCATCTTTTCATCCGAGCCTAACAATTCGATACTTGTACTTTGATTTAACATAACTGACTCACCAGCTGGCCGTTCGTCCTTGACCTTGGAGCGTGGGGTCAAGGTCACATGGTCGCTGTTGTTGAGTAAAGCTGTCCTTTCCGTGGGCATGACGGGGGGTGTTGGCTCTGGGTGGTTAGTGTGGTTGGTGTGGGGGTATGTGTGGTGGTATGTGGGGTCTGTGTTGTTTGTGTGGAGGTATGTGTGGTGGTATGTGGGGTTTTTGTTGTTTGAGTTGTGGTTTGTGTGGTTTGTTTGTACAGCGCTGTCTTTGGTCATTATTTTGTGCTGGAGGGCAGGGTCTTCGGTGTGTGTGTGTGTGTATGTGTGTGTGGTGTGTTTGTGCGTTGTGTATGTCTGTGTTTGCGTATACGTGTGTATGTGTGTCCGTGTTCGTGTGTGTGTGTACGAAGTGGGTATTGTGTGTATAATTTGTGTAGTGTATGAGAGAGAGAGAGAGGCAGGAGAGAGTGAGAGTGAGAGTGAGAGAGAAAGAGAAAGAAAGAGAGAGAGAGAGAGAGAGAGAGAGAGAGAGAGAAAGAGAGAGAGAGAGAGAATGAGAATGTATGTCGTGTATTTGTCTCTGTGTGTTTTTCTAAGTGTGTGCGCTCATGTTATGAGAGAGTAAGTGTGCTTTTGTCTGTGAATGAGTACACACGCGTGTGTGTTTGTTTGTTCAAGTCATTGTGATTTTGTCGGTTTGAACGTGCCAAGGTGTGCTTCTGTAAGGATATTAGTCGTATGTATAATGTTGGTGTGTGTTTTTGCTAGTGTATTGTAAGACGGTATGTCTGTACACATGTGTCTTTGTTTGTAAGTGTTTGTGCATGTACGTGTGTATGTGTGTGTGTGTGTGTGTGTG